TTATTTTCATACTGCTGATGAGGAATCAGCCACCTCAGACAGAATTTTGCGTGTGTGTGTCTCAAGGAAGAATTTGCATTTCTGTTCCTGATGTTGGTTGGTTTCTTCTGAGGCATGTGCTTCAGATAGAAAACTTCTTCAGCAGCCATGTTTTGCTGCATTTTTTTTGTCTCCTTGGGGACCATTTATTGATCATATTTAAACATAAATTTAAATCTGCAGCTTCAAATGTCAATATTCCAGGGTTGCAGGGTATCACCTACTGAAGTGCCAGAAAATTACTTGCTTCAATGCATCAAAATAAACATTTTTTAGTTCATTATGATATTCGACCAAAATTTAAATATATTGACCATACAAAGGATAAGGATAGTACAAATATTTATTGGAGCATATATTTTTAGGCATAGAGGTATGAGTTACACACAAAAACTTAGCTGTAACTAGTTTTGGTGAACAGCAGCCTCTATTTAACTATACTGATGAGATTCTTTAGAAAAAAAGTAGTAATTATAGAAGAGATATTATGTGTAACTACTGCTCTTTGGAGTACTTTGAGGAACTTTATATGTAAAGTTCATTAATTTATTAAAAAAATTATAACGCTCATTAAAAATAATGGTAGTTTTATAGAGAACATTTCCTAAATTCTTATGCTCATAATTTTGTAAATTTTCCAAGACTTTCATAATGTTTTGGACTTCTTAAATGGAGGTTAAATTTTTAAACCTTGTTGATTTGTTCCTTTTTATCAGTAGAAGCAACTACAAGATTGAGTGGGGAAGCTCAAGTTATTCATTATTCTCCTGTAACATCACCTGAAAACAATTTCAGTTACCCAACCCTGGCAACCCCATTGTGTGTCAAACCCCTAAATGACCTCACTCTGATTCTAGCAGGGAGTCTTTCCAACCAGCTGCTATCACCTAGGATACATAACTATGTGAACAAGTCCAGAGAGTCAGGAACCCCCTCCATCCATGTTTTGTGCTTGCCAGGCAAAAGCCAGCTGCAGTTGACAAGGCACGAAACCGAGACCATGTCAACAGGGCACTGAGCCAAAAATAAGGAGATGAGCTTGAGTCCAGGGCTGTGACAAAGTATTTACAGGGTTTCTGGACTGTTGGTGGCTTGGATCAGGGATGCCTAGGCTATGGGTGTCTCTCAGGCTCACTCTGAAGCAGGACACACAACAGTAGATGAGGAGGGGACAGGCATTTCAATGAGAGTGCAAGAAGCCAAGACCATCTTAGTTCTTCAAAACCAGAACGAAATGAAAGTCATTCCAGTAAGATGAACTTGTGGTTGCAGGAAGGTTAATGACCAAATTACAGACAGTTTGATGTTAGGGTAGATTACTAGCACAAGGTGAGGTTTGTGTTGCATGACACAAGCACTACATAATTACTTAGCTATATCATAGCACTTTTATGCTCATGATTGTTTCAGGATTTATTTAAATTGCTTTTATTTTTCAATGCTCTATTTTTCCAGCTGTCAAATGAATTGCATGATTGATAATTAAAAAATTAGTGGTGTCATTTTGGTGTTACAGGTATTAGACCGATAACATGTGCAATAAAAAACTTGCCTTCCTTTGTCAAGGATGTTGACACATACATAAATTGCCATTCTGATATCTTTCTTCAGCATTTATACACAGTAAACCAAATACCAGCACATCAAAAGCCTGCAATCTAATACAATAAATTGCAGTTGTACTATCAATCTTTCAGTAGAAACACTTATTGCTCAGCTAGCTAACATTTAATAGTTTTTTTTTACGAACCTGAGTGACTCATGTATAATTTAAAGCTGCACATAATCTCTAAAATAAGAGAACAGGAGTATGAACATAGTATTTAGGTACAGAATGAGTAATATATATAGTCAAAAGTATGATAATTACATATAAATAAACTATAGGTAAAAATATGTATAGGCTTAAGAGAACTGCAGTATAAAAATGAAGTATTACATGTCACTCTTACAGTTTGTGAATTATAAAGTCCTTTCATTGCTCACCAAAAGAATATGAAAAGGGGAGGATGAGATTTTTTTTTTTAATAAAGAAATGGAGTGTTCTGCATTAGCTGCCACCTAAGTTTATTACAATTCATTACAAAATAATCCCGCATGACTTTGACAAGGTAAGGCCTATAGGTGGAAATGGTTTTATTGGACCACCTCCAGTAGTTGCAGAGAACAGACAAAAGTTTTTTGGACAAAAATTTGTTTGGGGCAAACAAATATGCTTGTTATAAACAGCAGATTTAGGGTTTGCTTTGAATTCAAGCAATTGCTCTGAGTAGGATCTTTAAGTGATCTAGTAAAAACATCAACACCATTTACCAACCTTACCTTGCCTATGTCTTTTCACCACCAGAGCTGTGACAACCCTGCTGCTGAAGTTCTAAACAGGTAGGTTATTTCCAGGGGATGAAAAACGAATTCCTAAATATTTCTGAATATATAGAGCTTCTCAGAAAATCAATAAATGCCAATATCAATAAAAGACTGCAGATCTTATTAGAATTAGGCATAGCATCTACAAGGAGTAATTTGTGGGGAGATTATCCAGGGTATCCCAACTTAGATTTACAACTAAATGACAAACATCAGGGGCATTCTGAGATGGTACTGAACTTAGTATTGGCCAGCTAGAGAGGCTGCCTCAGCTCTCCTCCCTCTGTTGACACCAGGTCCTTACCTTGTTAACACCCTGCCCTAATTCTGAAGATACACTGATTTGATTTTTTTTTTTCTCCTATTCCATTATCCCAAAGAATATCTACACAATTAAAGGAGATGGTGATTCTTCAGCCATTTAGATGGTAATGCTTCAGAACAAATTACATTGTAAAGCTTCTTAAAAGTGTTTTATTGCTTATATTTTCAAAATATGATTAACTCTTTATATAATCACTCAGAATTTTACAATTACTGCCCTCGCATACTTCTCAAGGAATGGAATTTATAATAAAGGAGTTTCCTCTTTTTTCCCTTCATTCCTTTCCATTTCCCTCCTAATTTTTTATATTGTCATGTGTTACAAATGTGTGTTATCACAACTTTTTCAAGGACACAGGTTTCAATAGCTGATATGAGTAAAGTTTCAGGGTGGTCAACAAAATGAGATTGTTTTTTCCTGGTTCAGGATATGGCTCAATATTGAGGGATATTTTCTGTCTCAAGCAGCTGGAGTTGGTACACATATAAACCCTCTCCATCAATTTGAACAAATATATACAATTATATATGCAGAAGTATTGTGATTCTCAAAACATAGTAATGATTATTTCTATATTAACTGGATAAATCTAATAAAAATAAAAATATGAAAGTTAAAATGTAATAAAATTATTAGATGACTGATGACTGGTGTTTAAATTATGTTACATGGCACATTACTGAACATAGCTAATATATACAGGTAATTTTTAAAAAATATAGTTGTTAAACCTTTAAAAATAAAAACATAAAAGTCTAAATGTTACACTCTGCTAGAAAATTCTCTGTTTTGCTAAAAATCTGCTCTCCATATCAGCTACTATTCATAATAAATATTCATAATATTTATATTTTACTCCTTTCATATAAAAAAACCCTTTGATGTCATACATACTACATAATTTATTCTGTGCACAGATCAATCTAGAAAAATAATTGTGCATTATTAATAAAAATTATCTATAGTGTCAAGGTTCAGTTAATAAAAATGTAATTTTAAGGTAACTGCAGCCAGGATATCTACTGATTAGGAATAAGATAGTAATAATAAGTAATAAAGAAATTGTGTATACTAGATACTGTTAAGAAACAAAAGGATCAGTCATATAGCAAACAAAACAAAATTATAAAACCAAGTAATGAGCAGATTGTTTTTCATACTTGCTTAAAACCTTTCCTAAGTAAGAAGACTTAGAGCTCCATAACACACACAAATGGTATCCCACCTGTACAGGCACAGTCTTTCCAGGGTGTCTGATATGAAGGGGAAAGGGACACTACAGATTTCTGTTTACAGTATTTGCATTACATGAACTTCCTAGGTTTGGAATCACTAAATCAGCCAAGACACCAATAAACGTGAAAGTTTGTTTCTAATTCAACTAGTTAGGGAAGTATGACCATACAGACTGCACTTCTGTTTTATATAAAGAATAGGCACGCCCTGACAAATGCTTAAGATGAATAGAACTGTATTATTCATCATATGTAACAGAGATTAAATGGCTTTTAATGACCACCTTCTCATTGTAAAAATATATTTACACAAGCCCTGTGAACAGATACCCTTGTAGCAAAACCTGCTGTTTATTTATAATGTTTATTTATACAGGAAAAAATTCTTGCCCCTGCTGCACTCTTTCCTCTGGGAGAAGGGAAATAAACACACTGGCATTCTTTACATAAAGAAACAAAAAGAATAACAAAAAAAAAATCTGAAAGAAACCCCACACTTCTCTTTGGCTTTATTTCTTCCTCATTCGTTTGTCCAATTCTTATCTCAGATACACTCCAAGTGATTAATATAAAAGGAAACTCTCAGGGCAAAGACTTGCTAAAGTTAGTGTTATTCCCATGTAAAACGTACATCAAGCTGTGGACTGACCCTGCACAGTTTATCTCCAGAGAGTCTCTACTGAACGACATCATACTTTTTTCTGTGTCTGGTGGTTTATACTGCAGCTCTTTGAGAACAGAAAAAGGCATTCCTCAAAATGTGGCTGTTATTTCATCATGAACACTTCCTAGAACTTTAGCCTCTTTTATCACTGCCAAAGCTTCATATCCCTCACAAAACCAGGAATGAAACTTAGAAAATGGTCAGCCTGTGCTTTAGTATAATTATCCTTACCTTGATATCCATGTAATATTTACTGTAAGAATATACCTACCTCATGTTATCAGTGCAAAAATTTTACATTTACTTGCATTATTTATACATACATTAAAGTATACTGATGGCATTAAAAATAAAGAAAATCATGTAATACCTTTACTTTTACCTATGGATTTGGTGAAATGGTTCCATGAAGAAAGCATTTCCAGACAAAAAGAGAATAAAGAAGAGGAGAGAAACAACAGTAAGAGTCATGAGTACATGTAAATGCAATAGTATCTGAATATGAAGAGACAAAGAATAAGGTAAGTGTCGGAAGACAAATGGAGATGCAATCAGTGTCATATTAGGGGTTTAGTTTATTTCTTCCCAATCATGTACATGCAGAGACACACAGAAATAATCCATGCTTAGATAAGAAAGACTGTCACAAAGATAACATGGACAATGGTTAAGAGGAAAAAAAATCACTGGTTTTGTTAGGTAGCAAAATTGTATTCTCAGCATTCCAGAAGCCAGGAGCAGGTGCTTTCTGCATATTTCCAATCAGCCATGCATTAATGCAAATGGACTCTTCAATGTACAATATTACAAGAGGAGAATCTTCTTTCAGGAGCTATCTGAAGAGTGGTCTTGCACTGTTTATCTTTTACAGGATCAGCCATAATTGTATTTTTTTAAAATACACAAAATTTTCTTAATCACTTTCTTATTTCTCTCACCTCTTTTTAGTTATTGTGTTGCAAGAGGGGGAGTTGAGGAGGCAGGAAGGACAAAAGCTTACAGAGCAAACAAAAAAAAAATGAAACAAGAAAAAGATGTGGCTAAAACCATGTGTTTCTTTGCAGCCAAAGACAGCTTTCAAGCATTTGCCCATCAGTTGCAGTGATGGATTCAAAGCAGCTACAGAACAAGAAGAAACAATGAAAGCAGAGTGGAAAAGGAACAGAGCCCATACCTTGGTCGCCCATCATCAGGTGCGCCAGACCTTGAAGGGAAACAAGAGCACAGTCAGCAATGAACAAGGGAGCACGGGAAGGTGGTGTTGTCACACTGACAAAAATGTTTTGTGACAGGCATCTGTTTCCTATAAGATGTCTGTATCACAGAGGGAAATCAAAGAGCATTTTTCAACCACTGGTTGGAATGCTTTGGGCTACAAGTAACAGAACTACAATTCAAACACTGGGTGCTGTTTTATTGTGTAGTTTTGTTTTTTTTCTGTGCAGTATTTGCATTGACAGAAAATAATAAAATGCTTTCAAATCCAGCCAATTTCTTTAATAATCTGTCTGTCTTTATCATATTTTGATTATATTGCTTTGAATGCTTTGCTGAGAGGACTTCCTGTCCTCTACATATGAAATGATGTTTAAACCCTGGAGAAGTTAAACCTGAAAAATGGGCTGGGTCTGATCTTTTTCCCCTCATAAAAATGAGCATTTGAGGTAATTAAATAAAATTTATTCATCACATTGAAATGATAATGCAAAGAATGTCTCCTTATTTGTGTGAAATGTGACAGTAGAATGAATTTCCTCCAGAGAAGGCGAATTAATACATATGCAATATAAAATACATAGTAATAAAGAAAATTTAAGTGACAGCTTCTGCAACTACTTCTTCAATCTGTAAGAAATGGATTTTGCTTTATACTTATATTGTGAGATGAAATCCCATGACACCAGAATAGGTCTAGTGACATTTCAGATCAGATGTCCATAATGATAATCACTCATCCAGAGCCAAATTTTGTTACTCTTCAAGGAAAAAATATTCATCTTTTTTAATTCATGTTAATAAAATGATTCTTAAATCTCACTGAATATAATGTGATGTTGGGAGAATATTTTTCTTAGATATATGAAGGTTTTTCATTTTTTTATGTCTTATTTAAAAAACAGACTTATTCTTGTTGAATTTAGCTGTTTCTGGAGTTATTGGTTGTTAACGTGTTAAAAGTGCTCCTCTTCTCAAGAAGCCATACATTATTTTCTTAATTGCAATTAATTGAAATAAATTCACACAAAGAAGGTGAGCAATAATATATCCTTCTTTTTATTGGAAAGCAGACTTCCTAGAAAAAGAGTTTCTGTGATTTCTAATTCACAAAGAAAATTAGGTGCACAAATGACTCACGTTACTTGGGGGTGGTTCAAAGAAGACACTCCCGACTGCAATCAGTCTAAATGATTCTTCTCTTATCAGTTCCAAATCTCAAGTGATGTTCTAAATAGACTAAGAATGGTTTTGTAGAATTATTGCTTTTTAATGTCACTCATTTTAGATGTGTAGTTAAAGTGAAGGGCTTGATGTGCCTGATCTCTTGTGCAATAAATTCTGTTTCCAAATACAGAGCTCTGCAGCTGGTGGGATTACCTGGGGCTCACAGCAATGTAAATGAAAGCTGACTGTGATCCTGAAGGGATGCCTGCATCAGCATTACTTGGGAAATATCACACAGCTGAACTGGCAGTTTGCAGCTTGTGAAAGAGAACAGAAATGTTTTCATGGGTGTTCTTTCTCTCTAAGTGTTGCTGCAAGAGAGGCTTGCTGAATACACAGAGTATAAAGATCATGTTATATTTTTTAATTCATTCTTTTACTGCTGGGTGTCCTTCCTTGGATCCCCTGCCACGTGGCCTTTGGAAGTATCAGTGTCTTCTTGTGATTGATTAATTAGTCTTTTGCTTTTGGTGTTGGCAACTTTTGGTGTATAGCAAGAAATCTCAGACTTTTACCCTGACTCTAACTCTATTTGATAAAGGCAAATTGAAACCAGTTGAACATTGCAACATCTTTTTCTTTAATGAAACAGTGGCTTTTCAGACACTACTTTATGTGAGATCCTTCAAACAAATAACTGTCCTGCCTACCAGGGGAATACAAAAAAGGTGATCTCTTGCTAGCTCACATTTACATATTACCTTCATAGCTATACAGACCTAAACAAAAGTCTATCTTCAGATTATCACTGCTTGATAGCTACTATTTTTGTTAAAATGATACGTGAAATTGGTCAGTTGCAAATAGATGACTCTTACACAATTTGAAGAAAAAATGTAATAGCAGAAGTACCTCTTGAAGATATCATAAAAACTGCTTGAATTTTAAAAGTCACGTACGGTGTTGTTCAATGAAAAAATGCAGTCAAGTGAATGTAAAAGACATACACTGCTCAAACCAAACATCTACCAATTAAAAAACTGGTACTACTCCTCAAGACACTGAATTTTGTTTCACTCTTTGTGTTACTTTATTTACAAGCAGCAAGACCACTTATACTCCCTTGCTAAAGGCACATAATGATACTTACCTTAATTGATATTTTTGCAATCTATGGATGAAAGCTATTGAAAAGTGCAGCATTACTAGTACTGTACCTGTTCATTCCACACAGGGGTCTAAAAGGATACAGCTAAATCTGCCAATCACTGCTACATTTGCAAAATGAAAGTCTGCTTTTAATAGATGTGGGAAGTTTTATCCTTAAGTAGCCACATATAGGGCTCCCATACATTGAAAATACTCATTTGTGCACCATTACTTCAATTTCTTTGTGAATTAGGAATTGAAGATTTAGAAGGAATCCCTCATGTGTGATCCACTCCAACTCTCTCCTGAACTTGGCTCTCAGAGGAGAGAGTTAAGGAGAACAGTGTGGGATAGTGGAAGTGGATATGAAGATAGGATACCACAGTTTGGTGTGTGAGTTCCAGGCAGAGCACAGGCCAAAACAAAATTTAAACACGATAAACCTGCAGTGAAGGTATTAAAATGTAGTACAGCTTCAGAAAAATAAAAAAACAGTAGCCTTTTTTTACCAGCAGTATACAAAAAATTGAATATTACATATTTCTGTTTGCTTATGTCACCCAATTTACAGAGATGCTCAGATATCACAGAGATCAAAGATGAAAAATTTTAGCTCCAATTTCAAGCTGTGCTTTAGACACACAATTCTATGCTTCCATTTTTACATATTCATGCTTTGTAACTTTAATGTATGCATAAGTATCCAGAGCTGTGTTGGAATAAATTTAATGTTGCAGTTTTAAGAATTAAAGGTTCAGGTAAAGTCTGGATTAACAGTTATCCAGATTTTATCTTGTACTGCTGTGCATAAAGAAATATGTGAAATGTAATTGAACCTCCTTATCTAGTTATATTGAAACTAATTCAAACTTTGAGACTCATGTTGACACTAGTAAGAGTTTTATGCACAGATCAAATACAAGATTAGGTAGTTATTTCTAGGCTTTTATGTTTTTCAGCTAGAATTTCTATCCTAGTGTTGTTGAATACATTTTTATCTCACATTGAAAATGAAATTTTATTGATGTGTACAAGCATAACAGTGCCCATAAGTAAAGCACCAGAATTGTTTGAATTTTCCTTCTCCTTGGGAAAACATATATATTAATAAAATTGCAGAGCATCATCTATGTGCTAAATCTGAGCACCTGTCTTCACCCTTAAATACAGCAGCATGGAGAAATGAAGCACCAGAACCTTCAAGGCTTCTTGAGAAAATCGCCCCTGAGCAGGCAGGCAGTGGTGAGCTCAAACCTGAACGAACTCAGGCCCCAGAGTGGCTCACATGAGCACCCTGGGTCAGAGCCATGCCAGGACAGTCACTTTGCATGTGAGTTATTTTACAAAGTCCTTGCTTTTAAAATAGCTTTTAAAATATTGGACTGGAGTAAAATGAAAGCAATTTTTTTCAGTTTAGATAAGTAAACAAATTTTTTCAAATAAATAATCTTTTATCCAGTATGCAGAGTTTCACCCCAGAGAGACTTTTAAAGACATTTGTACATAAAAAAAAAAGCACCTGTACTTTTTGGCTTATAAGCAAAAAGACTTTAAAACTATAATATATTTGCATGTTTTACCAGCTAATAGATTTACTTACCAATATTCAGGATAGATGGCATTGTGCCTTAGTTTCCACTGCCCTATGCCATACTTTCTTTAAATGGACTTAATTATATACCAGCATAATTATTAAAATCACATGCTGCTTCTTTCACAATGTCTAAAAGGCAAGTGCATTATTCTGAAAAGTTAGACATAGAACCTCTTTTCCTAAAGCTTTGTGCTGTAAAGGATATTAGAGTAAGCAAGGTTTGTGGTATTAAAGAGAAAAGCACTTTCCATTTTCCTAAGCAATTAAAAGGAATTTAACATGCATTACTATTTTATTGGGAGAATTTAGGCTCCAAATTGATGGGACAAATAGTTTCTTGAAATGTTTTTCATACAGAACATGAGAAGAAATAAGTCCTGCAAATCTCCAGAGAGGTTTTGGATATGGTATCAGTCACATGAGTACAAATTCCATTGTTTTAGTGGGGATATTCTGGAATTACAGCAATAAGGCCAAGGAGCTTTGCTTGTGTTCTGTATGAAAAAATAAATCACATCTATTTCATAAAGTTGTATGCCTTTATCGGGGAAAAATACAACTTACCGTACTGAATGATATGTGTACTTTTATGACATTAAGCAGAAGGAAAAAAAAAAAACCTCACTGAACAGAGGGGAAAAACAAGAGCTTAGGAAAATAAGGTAGAAAGCACCCACCTTCCACATAGTTGTCTTCTGTAAGCACATAACAGGGAAGGAGAGAAAAGGAAAACATTCATTAAGCAGCATGCAGACTGGAACTTGCCATTGCATGTCTTTATCATGCAAGGCATCAAACACAACATGCAAGTGCTCCATTGCTACAATCCAGAGGGAAAAACAAAAGCACCAGGGAAGCAGTGTTTCCTCTGCTTAACAAAATGTATGTGATATGAAACAAAATACTCCTGCCAAAGTGCAAATATTGTACAGGATTTAGTGCAGCTCTTCGTACATGCAACTATTATTATTGTTAGCTATTAATCAGAAGGCCATCTTGTAAGACTTTTATAACTATATATTTTAAAACCACCAGTCATTTGTGATAGTACTAAATTCATTTAGTACTACTTTCCCATTCTAAATTTTCCTGCATGATGAAGTAGATGATTTTAAACTTCAGATAACTTAAATCCTTGAATGTTCTGTGAAGATGTTACCACAGGCAGCATGGCTGATCCTGCAGTCATTTGAGAGGCACTCTGGTCATTGGGTCAAATCTCCAAATCCAGCAGGGAAAAAGTGGAACTTAAACTGGGCAGAATGAGTCAGAACTCATGTTGGATCGTGTCCTACAGAATTGGTCAGCATCATTGCACATTGTAAACTTGCACATTGTAAAAAAACAATCAATTCTCTGCCTGGTACAGTCAGCAAAGGCCACAGCAGTGCCAAGGATGGGTTCTGCCCCACAACTAAATCAAAGGGCATTTTGCCTAAGGAAAGGCTGCTATCAACAAACAAAAACGTTTACCATTGTTTATACCCAACCCAACATCAATTTGGGGCACAGGAAAAAAGGTTCTCCCAAAGCTTACAAAGTAAAAGCGGACTAAGAAATGAGTCTCAGTTAATAAAGTGGACAGAATTGAAAGCTGAGAAACAGGCTCAGTGTCCTAAAACTCATTTTGGTGCCTACAGTCCTCAGCTACTCCACTGGGAAGGTGATTTTGAGGGAGTATTTCTCTGATCATGATTGAGGAGCGGATAGGAAAGAGAAAATGGGAAAGGTAAAATAACAAAGGAAAACCATCACAGAAGTCAAGGAGATGGATGCTGTGAAGCCAACAGAGATGGGAAAGGGTGAAAGCACAGCAGTCTGACTGCCTGGGAGGTCTCCTGCTGCAGTTTATGCCATCTCCACCAGCTCTTCCTGGGGAGGAGCATGCAGAAGCCAGGACAAAATTGAAGGCCAGTTCTGCCATTTCTCATGGAGTCATCCCATAGGAATAATGCCTTTTCATGCCTTTACTAATTTTGATATATTGTAACCCAATAAACAAATAAGAAAAAAAAGTTACACAGAACTGGGCTTAATGATATTTTTTAAGCACAGTGATTTCCTCCCAGAACGTGTCACTTATCATAGTGAAAAGCCTTTATAAGTTAATACAGAAAGCAATGAAAAAGGCCATCAAAACTCAACAGTATTCCAAAAAATAATTTGAAAAATTTGCCACTTAAAAAAAAAAAAAACTGCCATAAATGATGAATATTAAGGGTTTAAAGGTTTAACTGTACAGTTAGATATTATAATTCACTTTTCCACTCACACACTCTAAATCAAGAAATAGAATAAAATTCACTGAGATAATGAAGAACACCCATCACAAGACAAAGATATTATGTTCTATATACAATGTAAATAGTGATATTTGGATATGATATTTGTGCTAAAAATGCGGTATTTGGAGCAGCTCCTAGCAAAATTTTCTGGAAGAGCCTTCTACCTTTAACTGCATACAGTAATTTCCTTTCTCTAAGTAAAAAATACCCCACCCAAACTCAATGAAAAACAAATTAGTTATTTCAATTGTTGCTTAACTTCAGGCTGTTTCATCTAATTCTAGTTATCACAGTGTTAGTATTTTGCAATAGCAACATTGCCATGGAATTCTTTTTGGTGGCCATGTTTAGCTTAACATAAATTTTGTAAAACCAGTGTATGAACTTGCTGACAGGCAAGTTCAATTTCTCACAATGTCAGACTCAAAGAAAGGGCTCTGAAAATGACATCATAGGCGGGATCAGATGGTTAAACTCACCTGGTTACAGGGTTTAGCATATTTGGTTTTATATCATGAGTCCTCCTCTTAGCAATAATCACTATGCCTTTTTTGATGACTTTTACCAGAAAGATTTATACTAGTTTAACAGCTTCCCCTAAATGTCTGATTGATTAAACTTTTAGTGATAGCAAGTTAAGCTGTCAAAACATTTTGAATTAAATAAAATGGAAAAAGTTGAATTCCCACTCTGAATTAAGCAGTGTATATAACCAAACCCTATGCACTAGTAAACAGCAATGAAAATTCATTCCTCCACAGGTTTTTGTCATGGTAAGTTAAAACATCTTAAATAGTTTTCCAATCTAAGAAAAAAATTAGTTCAGCTTCTTTATGGTACTTTATGAGGCTTTTACATTAGATTAGCATTAAGCACTTTAATTAAGGTCGTTTTCTTGTGATGGCTGATATAATTCCATATCACTAACACTTCACCTGGCTTTTCTGATTCCCATTTTCTAAGCATGGCCTATTCTTCTAAGCAGAATGTAAGAAGCCGGAATGCTCAAATTCTAGCTTGGCTTTTTTATTCATTTTGCTTACTACAGCCACTCTTAAAAAACAAAACAAAACAAAAAAAAAAAAGGGAAAAAGAAAGATCATTGAAAGCCATGTATACTATCAAGTCACAGTTCAGAGGGAACAAAAACTTTCCTAATTTAAATCAGGAGTAACTGCATTTATGTCATTAGATTTGCATTGGTGTAAAATTTCTGCAGGCAGTGGCACAGAGCAGCTCTTTCCTTTTCCTTTTCCTTTTCTGCACTAGCTGATTGTGCCAAAGACTTTTCACTGAAAACAAGTGACTTTATCTTCAGCATTCTGACTTCAAAGAGATGTGGGTATTTTTCTATTTTCCACATTGCACCAAGCTCCTCTCTTGAAGAACTAGAGAGCTCTTATCCACTTCAAATGCTTATTTCCAAGACCTTCCCCCATTCCCACCACCAAAAAAAAATTAATTGCCCTGCTACCTTCTGTGTTTGCAACCTAATTCCTCCAGCTAGTCTGCTCTTGGGGCTGTGTGTGTAATCTGTTGACTGTGCATATCAAGCCAAATACGGAGTTGAGTTAAATCTGGTGTGACACAGTTGAAATCAGAGGAACTGTGCAACTTACACAGGCTGTGAATGTGGCTTATTATCTCCAGATGAATTGTCTCAGGCTGTCCCTACTGGACTGAGAGCAGATTCTGCTCCATATTTTATTTTCAGCAAAAGAACAACCAATTCTAATTATTTTAGCATAGTACTGTGATTTAGTGATATGAAAATGGGAATCATATTCTTACATGACATTTTTATTAATTAAAGAATTATTTTAATGTTCAGTGATTCTTCATGGAAAACTTGGTTTTTTTTTAACTCTTTCTATATTTAGTGGCTATTTCTGCTATTATATTTTTTTAATCTACTAAAGAATTTTTACCTTAGCCACACAATTATGTAAGAACTGTAATTTCATGACAAACAGAAGAAACAGTAATTTTGAAATCACAAAATCAGAAACAACACTATAAGAAATAACCTATTAGCAGAGGGATTTTTATAGTTTTTTTTCTCATGACAAATTAGTTCTCAGTCACATTGCAGCAAGGAAGAATATAACATACTATAGACATATTTATGACATTTTAAAAGGGAGTCAGAAGCATGGCAAGGGGGGAAATAAAGCTATATTATGAAGGTGTCTTGCAACAAAATTGATGGCTAGAAGCTTAAGATACAATCTGGTTTTTTTCTCAAAGAATAATGCATAATTATACTTTTCTTTAAATGTATCTGCCAAAAAAATTGTACTTATATCATTTCAGGGGGCAGCTTTATCTTTGGAATTGCTCCCAGCATTTCTTGGATGGTGTGATTTAGCCTGTCCCGTCAATTTCCCATATTGGTAGAGAAATTGGTTATATTGACATGGGGTTCAAACCAAAATATTTGGAAAGGATATGAAGAAATGAAGGATTTTATGCAGGATGATTTAAAGCATGGTCATATAGTCAATAATGATGAACTAAAGCAATATATTCCTAATAATCCATTAGGATTATTTGAATTTTTTAGAAATTACTTTTGAAAAATGTACTGCACATATTGATTGTCATCATTGACTGTAATTATGAATAATCAGAAACTGATTATAAAGGTACCTGGTACTCTGATTTTGTTGCAGCCTGTTTGGCATTGGGTAAACAGGGTAAGAGCATTTCCCAGTCCTGTTAGGATTCTTAAAGAAAACCTAGAAATCTACCAGAATCTAGGCTCAGGAGGGCTCAGGCGTTCCTACACTTCCACATTAGATCTGAAATCAATGTACAGCCCCTCTTAGTCTCCATGCAGCTTTGGATAGATCCATTCAGAGGACTTTCCAGGGCAGTTGGTAGAAATATGACAGGGATTTTATTGATTTTTTTTTTTGAGTGGAAAGGAGAAATTTCAGAATAACAGAAGTTTGGGCCCATTTCAGTTTCATTCTCTACCTCCATCTCCTTGAGGATCCCTTCTTTTCTGGATTGCCCTGTTCAGGACTTGAGAGAAAGGCAAAATCCCATCAGGAGCACTAAAGGACTGCCTTGACTGAAAATAAGGACAGGGCTTTCTGCCAAATGAGGATCATTAGGACACAATTAGATTATTATTTTATTTTTTACCAGCTTTTTACAAGACAAAACCATCAGCACAAATTCAGTATGCTTCTGTAAATTCTAGAAACATCCATGAATTTATTCTAAGTGAGACCAACTTTTCTGGATAGTATCAAAGTGCTTTGAAAAAGAAATAATGACAAGATCATTTAAGTTAAGCTACTCTAGATAAGCTCCAAAGGTGAAGCAGCAAGTCAGGGTGCAAGTTTTGAGTGCACAAGCAAAGAAATAATGAACATAAATAGAAAATGGCATTATTTTTGTGG